GCAACCCTGAAAGGAACCCCTTAAAGGGAACCTTTATAGTACGCTTACAGGAACCCTTATAGTAGCCTTAACGGAACCCGTATAGTACCCGTAAAGTAGCGCTTCTAGTACCCTTACAGCAACCACCCCCTATAGTACCCTTAAAGGAGCCTTTATAGTACCCTTAAGGGAACCCTTAAAGGAACGAGCACCCTTATGGAGCGTTTAAAGGAAGCAACCCTTAGAGTACCTTGTACCTTGAAAGTAACCCGGTACAGGGCATGCTTAACTTAACCAGCCCCCCCCAAGAGTGCCCTTAAGGGAACCCTCATAGTGCTTTGTAATTATAGTGCCCTTTAAATGGAGCCAGCCCCCTAAACGCTAAACCCGAAATCCCTAAATCCCTGTCCTAGAGTGAGTGCTGACACCCTAAACCCTAAATCCCTAAACCCTAAACCCTAAATCCCTAAACCCTAAACTCTCCAAGCCCTAATTATACCGTGGTTGGGATCCTTCCGGTTTGAAGCTGAGGGAGCGCGGCTCAGCAATGGGATTTCGGAAGTCTTTGGGTTTTGGGTTTTAGGGTTCAGGGTTTAGGGTTTAGGGTTTAGGGTTCAGGGTTCAGGGTTTAGGGTTCAGGGTTCAGGGTTTACGTTTTGGGTTTCGGGTCTAGGGTTTAGGGTTTAGGGTATGGGGCTTGGAGTAGTCTCCCCGAAGTCTCAGGGTCCCAATGCCCAATCCCCCCAAACCCTATTCTAATCATAAAGGCCCCTATAGAAAGGGCTTAGGGTTTAGGGCTTCTTGGGATTAGGGCTTTAGAGTTTGGGATACTGGTGGTCTAGACCGAAAGCTAGCTTCTCTATCCTGTATGGGAGCGTCAGGAACCAAGAGACCCTGAGGCGGTGAGATCGTACCCAGAGAGCCCAATACCCCTTAATTAAGGAATAGACCTTAAATTATAAAGGGGGCTTCATATTGTGATTTAAGCTATCTTCCTTAATTAAGGGATATTGGGCTCTCTGGGTATGGCAATCTTGACTCCGGGGCCCTGTAAATGGATAAAGCCTTGCAACAGCAACCCTTAGGGACCAAAGTTCGGGACGCGGCAACTAGAAGAGGTGGCTTCGTGAGTCCTAAACCTAAACCCGAAACCCTAAACCCTAAACCCTCCGGAAGCCAAGACTCTTGGAGCCTTGGATTTCCTCCTAAACCCCAAGCCCTCCAAACTCTCGAGGTCGAAGTTCTAAACTGCAGACTCGGGGTTATAAACCCTAAACCTAAACCCTAAACCCTAAACTCTGGGTCTAACAGCTCTACCTCAGTCCCCGAAGGCTATGGGACGCCTGGCGCCGGCCTTCCCACAAACGTCGCGTTGCAGATCCAAGCCCTTCTGGGCCAGGATCGATTCGGATCTCCGTGTTCAGACTAGCCCCTATCCTTATCCAGGAGTTTCTATATTCTTGATACGACTATATTTTTCACTCCTATTCCTCCTCCTAGTGCTCCTCCTATTCCTTCCCCTATTCCTCAACCTATTCCTCAACCTATTCCTCCTCCTATTTCTCCCAAGATTCCTCCTCTTGCTCCTCCTACTCCTCCTCCTACTCCTTATCCTCCCCTTCCTCCTCCTCTTCCTACTACTCCTACTACTCCTACTACTACTACTACTACTACTACTACTACTTCTACTACCACTACCACCCGTACTACTACTACTACTACTACTACTACTGCTACTACTACTACTACTACTACTACTACCACTACTACGACTACTACTTCTACTGCTGCTGCTACTACTGTACTACTACTGTACTACTACCAC